GAATGTAGGGGTGAAGTTTGTATGCACACAGGTCAGAAACTATTGTATTTGTATTTGTGGATGATTTAGTTGTGCGAAGAAGTTTAAATATTTCTTCTCTCGAGAACGGGGTTATGTTAGCTGCGTCTTCCGGAATCCATGAAACAGGGGGATCGCTACTCGGATGCACAAATGCCTGATTTATACTCTCAACGTCCACAGTACATTTATTGGGTTCGGACTTCGCATCAACAAAGAGAATAACATTGTAATGGATGAGTGCAGTCAGATAGAATATTATCAGGAGATTTCAAACCCGCATCAGTATGAGAATCACGTATACTACCAATTAGAACAGAAAGCGGTCAGTCATTTGTACCTTTGTGTATCAGTGTGATTTCCCAATCTTACTTTATTTTCCTTCAGTTATTTTCCCCGGATTTCTCGAACAGGATTTCTAAGTCTTTTGCCGCGGTCTAACTATTAGTAGCCGCGTTTCTTCTAATCATGTGAATGAGTTAGTTGTAAGGCTTTCAGAGTATTACATAACTTGGTGTGAAATTTGCTGAGAGGATTCTCACAGACCCTGATCACCCATTGCACGCAAACCTGACAATTTGTCGTTCCCACCGTTCAACACGCTCCTGATTCCGTCAAGTTCCATCTCCAATAAACGCTTACCAAAATTCACCTACATCCTATCTCGCACAAAATGGTATTTGATTGCTTGACTTTTGACTGTCACCCCAAAGTTTAGTGCTGTCGCTTTTCTCGCCAGCACCAACTTGCACATTGCACCTTCAACAATGCACAGAGTCAAGGAAAGTCAATGAACAGGATCAGGCAAGTGAAGTACTTCAGTATCGCAGTTGAAAGAAACTTTCGCTTGTTTTCCACTACCCAAACCGTTGCTCGCAAACGGAAGGTTCTCTCGTTTCAGATAAGAAGGCTGAGCTACCTCTGTTTTGATTTGTTGGTGATAGGAGATTTCTCTCAATTATATTTTCTCCCTATACCCCTTTACGGCTACCCGGTAATTTTCCCTGGTTTGCTGAAGACCGATTGCAAGCTGCTGAAGCGTGGCCACTCAGTGAAAAGCCGTGTTTCCCAAGTTCCGCTTTCTGTTCTGATTGGTAGTATACGTGATTCTCATACTGATGCGGGTTTGAAATCTCCTGATAATATTCTATCTGACTGCACTCATCCATTACAATGTTATTCTCTTTGTTGATGCGAAGTCCGAACCCAATAAATGTACTGTGGACGTTGAGAGTATAAATCAGGCATTTGTGCATCCGAGTAGCGATCCCCCTGTTTCATGGATTCCGGAAGACGCAGCTAACATAACCCCGTTCTCGAGAGAAGAAATATTTAAACTTCTTCGCACAACTAAATCATCCACAAATACAAATACAATAGTTTCTGAC